TCTGACTGCTGACCTTTGACTTCTSCCTTGTCTTTGCTGCCCTGGGTAATCCTGAGGAGGTTAATCACATGATAATAAGAGCCCTGAAGTTGTAGAGCGGGTCTCCTCACAGTGTYCGCTCATTTAGCAGAGGAACCAACCGATGGTGCAGACGTACGTCCGTGCTGCTCCATTCWTTTATATTTAATTCTCTTCAGCTGTTTTCCTCAAACAGAATTACTGTTTCCTCATCTATCTATGTTTTGGCATAAAAATAACCGTTTTTTTATCCACAGAAGAAGCTTCAGTACTTTATCTTTGCCTGAGAGGTTAAAGAAGTCGATTTATCTTCATCAATACCACAAACTACTGCAATAAATGGCGAAGCAAAATTGGCTACCAGTAATATATTGGTCAATCTAAGAAACAGCCACAACAACACGTGTCAAACTGAAGGTCTGAGGGTCAAACTGGGTCCACCACAGCCTTTTGTGTGGCCCGCGAGAGCTTCAATGTTGTATTACCGTCTTAAAATAAGCTGCAGCCTGCTTTGAACTACATTGCCTGAAATGCATGTTGATTATTTTACRCGRGAAATGCATCCCACCTGTAGCTGGAGGTGCACGGGGTTCAGTGGAATTTGCCGTGRAAAATRTCCATTTTGCTACATTTTTAGCAGTGGTACTGGAATGTGYGAATTTCCCCACTTACAAGTTGTAAYTTTAAACAGTAACACCGCARAAGTGGGAATTCCCAGTGGAAAAATGGGAGAGTTCAGAATTCAAGATGGCAGCTACTCACCATAACTCATCAGTGGGTAAAACTCTCTTATTTTGACCTTTAATAGCATTTCTGAGTTATTTATTTCACATTTAGTCAATTGTACACGTAGTACTTTTCAGTGTTTATATGACGTGATAAATGCTCTTTCTATGCAGGAAATACCAGGTAGAGCTCAGTTCTTGTTTGTTAGCAGTGCTCAGGAACATGATGTTTTGTGTTTAATTGAAGTTAAACACAAAGCCTCTAAGTGTTAAAGCTAAATGTACAGTATATGTCAAACCAGCACTAAAAAGTGTTGTTAGCATTGTGAAGGCATTACGTAAAAAAAAGAAGAAAAATTTGTTTATCCCAACTGATATGGTCATTTTTATGTTTTTCAATAGTATAACCCTGAAACATTTAATGAAACATTTAGACGGTTGTGGTCTAAATTATAAGAACACATTGTGACTGAATCTGGAAAAACATAAYCCAAGACTCTGGTTCTGATAAACGAGGCCAATGTAAAAGCGGTAAAGCTTTCTAATGACCAGCAGGGGGCGACAAATGCTCAGGTATAGTTTATAAACATGTTTTGCCACATTAGTGACAAGTTTCAAATCTTTCAGCAAAAAGCTTGATGTATTTGTAATTTTATTCTTCTATTAGGTATAAAGTAGATAATAAAGCAAACTTTGTTTTGTGGCATGGCTACCTTCAGATTATTCCTAACTTGTAAATCCTGAGGGATTAAAAAATGTCTTAACTATAATCTATGCGACATTTAAAGTTGAGACCTAATAAAAATTTGTTACAGGGGCTAATTTTATTGTTTGTAGTCAAACTACAATCCTTGTTTTTCTTTCTGTATTTTTAACATCAAAGATTTTAATTAACAAATCTTTTTGCCAGTTTAATCGTATAAATAAATAAAATATATATATATATATAAAACATGAAGAATGATGTTGCCCAGTTCTCCGCTCAGGTGAAACACATTTATCAGCATTAACACAGGCACAGAGTTAAAAGCTGCGATCTTTCCTGGTTCTTCTTTATCCTTTTGTTTATCGAACACGAACACGAACACGAACACACACACACACACACACACACACACACACACACACACACACACACACACA